GCTGAATTTTGCAAGTGTTTAGGCTATGGAGTTGTATCTGAGTGACCATGGAAATTATTGAAGTAGGAAGACTTGGAACAGAACAAGTGGTGGACTTGGAAGTTGAAAATTGAAATGCCAACCACTTGAAAAATCAAGGGAAAATAACGGTAGATTCTTGGAAATACCCTTTATATTTGATAGGCTGTAGATACACAGGAGAGGATATTTTTGGTGTTTTATTTGTTTCTTGTGAAGGACAACTACATAAATGACTGATGCATCTTCCACTAGCATCAAGTTTGGTGACTGCTTCTTACTGTCCCTTTGCATTTGGATGAGAACAAAGAACTTGACTAGATTTACTACATTATTTGGACCCTACCTGGATATTTAATAAATTAGAAGCGAATACGAAAATAAAAAGTTAAAAACGAAATAATTATCCAACGGGATTGTACAGAAAAAATGCTCGTAAATGAAGATGTACTAATGTCAAACCAACCGAACACACAACTTAATCCAGTATATAACTTTATTATCTCAAATTAGTATAAGAATTTTTTTTCGGAAAAATACTTACCTGGGCCCATCATCTTCCTCAAGACAAAAGCTACTAGAAGAAGAAGAGGTAAACGCTGAAATTGGGTAATGCCAACTTTAAAAGGTGATAAATAAGGGAGAAGAAAAAGAACATAATAGGGTATGAAAGCTCAAGCCTTTAATCTCGATGAAGACGTACATTGGTTACAATAAACGTGCTACTGCATGCAGCCGAGTTCGCATTATCATTTTTGCAGTTTGAATTAGTTTACAAAATTCACGATCAAGTTAAGTAAAGCTACCATTCATTTGAAAGCCCAAAGATAGCCCTTTGGCCAGAAACTGATGAAAAAGAATCCCCTTTTGCGAAGCTGTACAAATTTCAAGTCTTTATCCTCATGGCGTGCTTACGAGACGGGTATGGGGTGAAGAAATTTTTTAGTGTGATCGGCACACGGGGTGGTACATCACGTGTCATTATACAAATAATGAAATATATGTATAAAAAAGTTAATAACTTAAAAAATAAAATTTCTCATCCCTCACATAAAACCACGTGATGAAATAATTTTCTATGGCGTGAGTGGAAACGGAATTGCACTCCTTATAAAACATTCATGTGTTTACTTGTAATTGGGGAATTGAAATAAAGGTGGGGTCCACCTAAAATAGAGAATTCAATTCCAGATATACCTGGAATCCGATTACCAAGAAATGGATGGTAATTGAATTGGCAAATTTTATTTGAACCCATATAATCTCTCTCTACACCCAACTTAAATTTTAAATATGAATTGTCTTTTTTATCCTATTGCATAATTACCATCAAATACAAGGTGAAATTAATAATAAAACTAAAATTTATTAATAAACCCATTGTTGATTCTAGAGACAATTGAGGGTTTGAGGCTGCTTTGAATTGGCGAATCAAGAATAAAGAACTTGGATTTAAGAATTTGGACAAGAATAAAACCATCCTCTCTGACTCCATGCAACCTTAAAATCATCACTCTCTCTTCTACCAAAACAATGTCAATGAGGTTAAAACCGAGACAGATCTCAACGGCTAGAGAAATCACTCTTGCCGGCCTTAACCTACTTCTACCCACTTTCCAGAAGAATAAAAAATAACAATTAACATCTTCATAAAGATGAGGGGGCTAGCTTAATAAACATTACAAACCAGACAAAAATCGTTCTATATAATTTGTCTTTATATAATTATTATTACTACTGTGTGTGCATTTATAAAATGATTTTGAGTTATGGGGTAGAGTTTAATTATTGTGGCAATGGGAGTGAGTGAAGAGGCAATGGGATGAACAATGGAATCCAATTCAGATAAAGCACACTTTGAATGAATTGCAGAACAGTGATTTAGAGTTTTTGTTTTCTAAATGGGTCTAAAGATAAATTTAGATATTAAATTGGGTTTGTGAGGGTAGTTTAGGTATTAAATTTGGGTTTAAAGAGATATTGATAGTTTAGTTAATAATAATATGGGTGCAGAGAATAAGTTGGGTGTAGAAAGAGGTTACATGAGTTCAAATAAAATTCTCCAATTGAATTTCGGAAGAAGGGGACCATCAGCAATCAAATTTTTCTTCCCAAACTGCCCTAGTACTTCTTTTGATATCCCAAAACACCTCGCAACTTCGCTCCTAATGCTGCACCTCACCGTTTCACTCTACCATTTGGAACGGGATGAAGAAGTTGAAGAACATGCCCTGGAGGCATTGTGCATTTGTGAAAAAGCATTTGGAAATGACTCCGTTCCCGTTGGTATCTTATCGTTTTCTTTAAGCTCAAATAAATTACAGGGCAACTCACTCACTGCCTCAATTGGGCAACTCAAAATTGGGGTAAAAAAAATCAAGGCTGGGATATAAAGGGAGGAGCATGAAAGGTTGTTTGCAAACGTGGGGCGGATCGGTAGTAGAGAAAGAGGGGGGAATTTTAGAATGGGGTGGGCAAGTAGTAGGTAGGCAGCAGAGAAAAACAGGATAAATTTTAGAAAAGGGTGGGTCGGGAGAAAGATGGGGCAGAGAGGGAAAGAGAGATAGAGAGAGGGTCACACAAAAAAAGGAAAAATGAAAGAATAAAAAAGTTTTGTAAATGGCATTTTACCACAGTGGTGGAAATGTATTGAGTCCTTATATGATGACGTGGATTCAAACCCATCGGTGATTAATCTAACATTTAATATAACAAAATCTATTGTTTGACTAGAAAAAGAATAAAAAAAAGTTTTACTAAAAAATAAAAAAGAAATTTGTTCTTTCTGCTAAAAAAAATAAAAATTTGAAAGAATAAAAATAATTAGCATATAAAATAGATTAGTTCAACTATGGGTATTTTAGTAATCATATCAGTTTTCATTCCGATTCATGTGAATTAGTAAACAGTTAATATAGATCAATGTCATTCCTACTCCGATTTCAGATAGTTTTAGCAAAATAACTTCAACATAAATCTAATTCTGCTTTTACCTCGTTTTGATTCTTCCTCAATTAAATTCCTCCTCAATTCAATTCCTCTCAATCTGATTACAGATTAATAAGCGAGCCACCAGTTTATACTTGTAGGTGCCCAAATGTCAATTCAACTTTCTGAATTGCCAAATAACAGAGAGAGTAGGAACGACATACCCTTATGTATCCAATTTACATGTCATTTCTTGCAAACAATCAAATTTGGGCCACTTCAACATGTGGGCTCATTTCAACGTAATTTCCTGGTGAAAATGTCCCGTTTCAGGTGTACCCAATTTTATTGACCTCATGTAAAAAGAGGGATGTCAATCAAAATTCTCTCTAAATTTATAAAGTAATGCTATATTTACCACATATTGGTGAGTCTCGTCTCTATTAGAACATCTCCACCAGTTGGTGGAAGACAAGGGTAAGAGCATGTAAGTTTCCCTTATTAATCACTCTGAATAATACTTGCCTTTCTGCACCCCCACCACTTTGAAAAGGGCAAGGGCAAGTAAATATTTTTTTTTGGAATTTTTTTACACTTTGAAAATAAAACAATTGTTTAATTCTACTAAATTATTTCAAATATAAGGTAAAAGCATAGCATCACAACAAACATAATTAATTTCAAATTTGGTAAAAACTCCCATAATCATATAATCAACTACGACGTTGAACAACAATATAAAAAACCATTCTAATTTTTAATAATTTTTTCTGATTTTTTCTTATAATTTTTTCCTATTTTTTACTGATTTTTTATTATTTTTTAATGTTAGATTAATCCTGGTCGTTGATTTGAAATCGAACGCACTAGATTACGCCATGTGGCTTAATGGTAATATTGTAATTTTTTTTACTATTAGAAATCAGATGGTCAATATCCTCTGACTGTTGGAAATCCAACGACCTACAATTTGCCATGTCAACTATTCGTCGGAGGGTTTTGTGATATCTGTTGTACCAGAGCTCACCTCTGCAATCTTTGTTAGGCCACTCTCCTTCTAGGCACGTGTGACATAAAAAGAATTTAAATATGCTTCTGGTGTCAACATGAAGTAATGTTGATGTCAGCTTGCCCGAAGGTAGCAGGCCTGGCTTAAGAGAGCTGGGCATCTGGGCTAGTAGTGATTGGCCTACCACCTGCCCTTGATTTTATGGACTTCTGGAGAAGGGTTTTCTTGGGTTGGAGGACAACATTGTTGCGTTTGCCTTTACCTTCCACCAACTAGTGGAGACACTCTTAGAAAGATGGTACAAATGGTAAGAGTAAATTTATAACCAAACAGACAATATTTGGGTTGACTTTTTAGCCAAAATGGTCCTTGAAGTTGGCGACCCCAACCCACTTCGTCTCTTTTTTTGCGACTTATCCTTAATCCTTTCTTTTATAATGACATACCCCCACTCTAGTCTCTTTTCCAATGACCCATCTCCATTCTATATTTTTCCCAACGACCCACTTCACTTGGTAAAACTAGGGTTTGGAAATCTGCGAGATTACAACTCGTGGAAGATCACAAGATTAAAGGTTTAAAGTAGTTTATTTAGAATTCTAGACTCTGATAAGAGAAAGAAAAGGAGATGTATGGGGGGAGGTAGTGGAAGGGTTGAGCTACCGGCCAACAATGACGATGATGGAGAAGACAATCCAATGAAGGTTGGTGAAGGAGAAGAAGGACATTTGGATACTAGAATAGTGAATGTTCGGAAACTAATTTTAGTTAAATGTTTGTAAGTTCAAAATGGACATGTTTAAAATGTACGGGAAACTATTTTCAACATCAAAAATTAGTCAATTCATTATAAGGAAGCAAACACAAATTTTCGAGAGGCCAATCATCATTCATTCACGAAAACCAACACAACTTTTTGAAGGCTCAATCATTTGTTTAATACCCTTAATCTGGAGCTAGTGCAACTTTTCAAAAAAATCCAACTAAAAAAAGCAAATTCGGTATTTTAATTTGTCACAAAAAGTACTTTAACAAAACCACTTGCTATGGTTAATTCAATTTATTGTAAGAGTAAATATATGAGCTTATATAATGCTCGATTATTGTACATACTGGTGTTAACACAATATTATCCCTAGCTTAAGATAAAACCTTGCTCACAATAGGTCGTGCTTTACACATAGCCTCCAATGGAATGGCTTTTGGTGCGGTGGTTCCTTTGCCCTCAGTCATGTCAACCATTTCCTCGCCCACTCTATTCCAGTCGAAGCATTGAATCAATGACCCCAAAGTCAATCCCACCACACGCTGCGATAGGCCTGCTCCAGGGCAAGCCCTTCTTCCCATTCCAAATGGTATGAGTTTATGTGAAAAATCTTCACCACTATCGAACCTCTCAGGCTTAAAGCTTTCAGGTTCGTCCCACAATTCAGGATCTCTGTGTACCGCCCATGCATTGACCAATACCATTGTGTCACGTGGCACGTCAAAGCTTCTAATAATGCAATCATCAGATGACAAATGTGGTAGTAACATTGGAGCCGCCGGGCATAATCGGAGTGTCTCGGAGATGATGCTTTGTAGGTAGGGTAGTTTGGAGATGTCTGGTTCATCCACCAAGTTTTCTCTACCAACTATAGCATCTAGTTCATAATTGGCCTTTTGGAGCACGCGTGGATGGTTAAGTAGATTGGACATGGCCCATTCTAGTGTCACAGCTGATGTGTCAGTACCCGCCAATAACATGACCTGATGAAAAAATTGATTAATATTTGGTTAATTAATAGTTAAAAATAAAGGTGGTGCTATTTACATCAAATTTATTCACCAAATCACGTCGAGCATTCTACACCACAAATTTTTTTATTACAATTATTAATCAAATTTCAACTTGAATTAAATTACAAAGCCGAGTAGTTTTGTTCTAACTTTAATTTCAACTTGAATGAAGTGCAAAGTTGATTGGTTCCACGTATTTAGTACACAAATTTCGTTTAAAAATTTAGTGTGCCTAGAATTATTCTTAAAATACAAATAAAAGGTAACGAAATATATCATAATATGTACCTAGCATTATATATTTCTTTGGGATTAATCAAACAAACAAATTAAACCTTATCTTTCCATTGACTCCTTTATAAATCAAAGCTTTATGGAAATTAAAAAAATGCATGAGATGAAGATAATAGTGTTGTGTACTAACCATAATGAGACCCTTGATGATTTGGTCAGTGTAGTATTCAGGCTGTGACTCCTGCAGGGAAAGCAAATGGTCGATCATACTACTGCCATTTCTTCCTTTACTCCTGTGCTCATCAATCAGACCCTGCAAGAACACATCCACCCTCTTAGCCAACGCCTTCACCTTCTTCTCGTACCCATTAACCCCAAACCAATTCAAAATCGGCAAAAAATCAGCTGGGTTCGCAGCCCCACCATAAGCAGACGCATCCCTCATAATCTCTCTAAACTGCCTCGCCTCCTCTTTGTCCACCGACACGTCATCACCGTAGTACCTCTTCCCAGCCACCATTCTCATTATGATGTTAAACGTCAGCTCATTGAGCATTGACTTGAGCTCGACCTTTGCAAAACCATCGCGTGCGTTTTGTGAGAGTTTAACGAGTAAATGTCTCACCTCGTCCTTTCGGATGTCTGAGAACGTGTTGAGTCGAGCGGAGGAAAAGATCTCGACGGCGCCAATGCGGCGTAGGTTGCGCCAGTGGTCGCCGTACGGGGACGACACCATGCTGGTGTAGTTGTAGGCCAAGTGCTTTCCCATGATCAGTCGAGGACGGTTTGCTAAGACAACGTCGTTTGTTGTAAAACATTCTTGGACAACGGATGAGGATGAGAGTATGACCACGCGGCGTGAGCCGAACCAGAGAGAGAAGACGGGGCCGTATTTTTGGGAGAGGCGACGGAAGATTCGGTGGACTGGGGGTTTTAGGAGATGGAGGTGGCCGATGATTGGAAGAGAAGGTGGGCTTGGTGGGAGGTTTTGGTGATTGTGACGTTTGGTTTGGAGGAAAAACTTGAAAGTGAAGAGAATGAAGATGAGAGGGAGGGATGTATAGAACAAGATGTCTTCCATGGTTTTGTGCGCCTTGCTTTGCTTAATAAATGGTTGAGATTTTGTTGAGTTTTTATTTGGGTGTGGTTTTATGTAATACAAAGCTGCGGTTATATGTACAGGGAGGGACATAGTGCCCAAGTAGTATGAAGGACAATGACAAAATGATTTCTTCATCACTTGGGAGGTCTAGAACACTAAAACTTTTATCTTTTCATATTTGGAAAAGATGGCGTATAACATGATGATTCTGACTTTTAAAAGATTCTCAATTTGTGGTATTGAAATGTCCACTCCAACTAATTTCAATTCAGTTATATTTTTTAAATTGTTTTGGCCTCGGTCATTGATTCTTATTTTTGGTTGAAAGAGATTTGGGTAGACAAAAAACAAAAAAAAACTGCAGTGTCTTTGATTGTTTTTTTTTTTTTAACTCCAACGGTACGACATAAATTTTATTAATAATAAAAAAAAATGACATCTAATTAGGAGGATATAAACATTTCTCTTCGTAAAACAGAAACAATAAAAAAAATACATGAAAAAAAAAAAGAACATAAACCTTATACTTCTAGAAACAAAAATAAGATAGTCAATTCTATCTCAAAGGGATTTACTTATACACTCAAGAGTTTTTAATTTGAATTTTCTTTCTGTATAATCGCTTTGTCTATACAAAAGATCTTTGTAAATTGAAACGGAAATGAATTGTTTTTTCATTCAATGAAAGTTCTAATCATGTTTTATTTATAAAAATCAATTCAAGGAAGTCTGCAAAGAAAGTAATCAATAGATAAACTTTGTTTCTCTTTCCGGGAAATCGTCATTGAAAAGAAAGTGTATGAACAGGATAACCCGAAAAAAAATAGAAAGGCAATTCAATCGTGGAAGTCTGCAAAGAATTGTATTTTTGTTCTTACCATGTTTAATTCCACCACGTGTACACTTACTGGCGTTGCCCTGCGTAAGAGAGTTCGTGTAAATGCATGCGATCCGTGGCTACATGGTACACACAATTAGGATGCGTTTGTTGCACCAGATTATTTCAGAATGGACCAACTTTCACAACTAAGCTAAACTGTCTTGGCTTGAACTAAACTGGATAAGAGCAGTAAAGTGTTTGATGTACTACCAGACTAAATCACAGACTAAAATATTTTTAGAGTTCAAATACTTTTTTTGTCATTGTTTAATTCATTTTACTGTTATTAATACACATTTTTTTATCTTTAAAAAAAATAAACAAAATACAACTATTTTTATTTGACTCTCTCTCCCTTGTCTCTCTATTTTCTCCGTTCATTTGCTTTGGTTTTTCACGTCCAAATTTGCTTCCAGTAAAACTCAAACCAAAATAAATAAAACTCATATTTTCTCTTCATTTCATTTGCTTTCTCTTGAATTCATACCCATATTTATCTTCTTTTTATTTACTTTTCTATTCAAATCAAACCCAGAAAAATCCCCAATTTTTTTTTTTAATTTACAAAGGCTTCATCAAATCGTCGAATCTGCAAATTCATTTCAATCAACCTCTACAAATCAATGTCAATTGATCTTGCAGAAGAAAGAGACAAACTTGCAGGCGCATTTCCTGGTGGAGCTCTTGGCGACCTCGAGTAGGACGCAACGGTTGGTGCAGGATTTGGAAGAAGAAACAAGCTGAGGAAGACAAAGATAAAGTGAGCTGAGGAAGACAAAGACCAAGCAAACAAAGCAAAGCGATGGTGTTAGTAATCCCATCATTTTTGGGCGATCTCGCTAAGACCAGTTAGTGAAGAGTTTAGTCGGCACGAGTCCAACGTAGTCCCATTAAACACAATCCTGGCTTGCACCAAACATGGGATTAATATTCTTAGTAAGCCAGTCCAGTCCAATGAGAATTAGTGAGTGCAAACAAACACGTCCTTAGGGTTTGCATTTTTCATTGGCATGCATCTGTTCGATCGACAGTGTCTTATGCCATCTCCAATCGAAAATGTTAGATATAGCTAGCTCTGTCTAAAATTATAGTCTTGTTAAAAATTTATTTTTTAATAAACAATGTCAGATCATACCTATAAACTATTTCCAACTGAATGAGGCTAAACATAGCCCCCTCAATAATTTATTAATTTTAAGTTTATACTTTAAATTTACTGTTTAATTTAATAAAACTACATTTAGATGTTTTCAAATATAGTCGTTAAATTTGAACCAATTATTGCAACTAAGCAGCTGAGCACCAAAAAAGGGGTAGGAGGGGGCTCCATTTGGCTAGCCTGATGGCCTTTTGACCAAATAATGGTTTGGTAGGCTCCACATAATTATCACCCAGCCATCTATTGAAGATGAATTTTTGAGCAAATCAGACCATTTTTAAACTTTTAGACTTTTAACCTTCTCCATTGGAAATGGTCTTCAGCCAAATTAAACAGAGGAGAGAACACCATGTTTTTCTTCCATACGAAGTGATGATTCTTGTGGATCCCGCATGTGTATCTTGACTGAATGATTATTAAGTGTATCTGCTAAAATTAAAAGTATTTTGTATTCACATTAAAAGGTGTGGAAAGTAAACTAATAACTCACTGCAAAAAAATACCCCACTAAAAGTATTTTGTATTCAATTAGGAAACTTAATCAGTTTTTTCCTACATGAATTCTAATAGGAGAATCACATAGATTGTTTGTATATATAGTGGTCTCTACTCTCACAAAGAAATGCGGTAAATTATTGAACCATGAGGAGAAGTACTACTACTGTGGTCAACTATGGTTTGCCTTCTTCGCTCTCTACCGGTATGTCATTATTCTTATTTGAATTACGTGACTAAGAGCTGTTATAGAGTCTTCATAGGTTCGCTTAGTGCTCTCATAACGTCCATATAGAGCTTATTAGCTCGTTTGAATGTGCTTTTAAAATAACTAAAAGCGCTATTAGAGAAAATATTTTTGGATTCCAAAAGCACTTAAAGTGCTTTTTGCAAGAAGCACCAATTATGTGCTTCTTCCAAGAAGCACTTTAAGTGCTTTTCCAAAATTTACTTACATTTTTACGAAGAATTAATTCTAAAAACATGTTCACCAAAAACGCTTTCAATCATTTTAAAAGCACATCCAATCGAGTTATATGCCGCGCTCTTATAGAGCTTTTATAGTTTGCCTTAGTGTTGTGATCATTTATTTGCTTGACTTTCATCTTTTGGGGGTTTAGCATATTCTTACATAACAGATTTTAACATTTGGTTGAAATACTCTAATTAATCCAATAGATGTTATGAGAGTATCTCTCCTTAAAAGGGGTAAAGATAAGCTGATATACCTACTCTTTTGGATAAAGTGACGCTACCCTTTGATTTTTCATTTTCCTTTTGCCTATATTTTCCTTCTCATTCTTTAATATCGTGCGGTAATCAAAACTTTTTTGTTTACCATTTAAGTAATCCTTTCAGGGATGGTTCTTCTTAAAGCACATCTAATTTGAAACTCATTTGTTTTTATTGATGTTTGGGAAAGATGTTCTGGCAATGAAAATTGTAGGATGAACCGAAATGTTGAAAATGGAAAAGGGGAATATGAATGGTATATCAATTAAGTAGACAATGATCATTAACTATGTCTTGCAGCTTCCCTCTTTTGCTAATACAATACTAAATTATTTATATAATTTAAGATATAATTACTTTGTTTACAACTGAGCGTGTTTTACACGTGGCCTCCAATGGCACAGCTTTAGGCATAGTGAGTCCTTTACCTTCAGTCATATCAACCTCCTCCTCACCAACTCTCTCCCACTCGAAACATTGGATCAATGACCCTAAAGTCAATCCCACCACGCGTTGGGCTAGTCCTGCTCCTGGGCAAGCCCTTCTTCCCGATCCAAATGTTATAAGCTTATGCGACATATCCTCACCGCTTTCGAACCTCTCAGGCTTGAAGCTTTCAGGATCGTCCCACAACTTTAGGTCCCTATGTATAGCCCATGCATTGGTCAATACTATTGTGCCACGCGGCACGTCAAATCCTTCAATAGTACAGTCTTCGGATGAAAGACTAGTAAGTGTTTGACCTCTTCCTTTCGGATGTTCGAGGATGTATTGAGTCGAGCAGTGGAGAAGATTTCGATGGCACTAATCCGGCGGAGGTTGCGCCAGTGATCGCCATATGGAGAAGCGACTTCGGTGGTGTAGTTGTAGCCTATGTGCTTGCCCATGAGCAAACGAGGGCGGTTGGCTAGGACAATGTCATTTTTGGTGAAGCATTCCTGAACTGCGGACGAGGAGGAGACTATGACCACGCGGCGTGAGCTGAACCAGAGAGAGAATATGGGGCCGTGTTTTTGGGAGAGGCGGTGTAATGTTCGGTGGACTGGGAAGTTAAGGAGGTGGAGGTGGCCGATGATTGGGAGGGAAGGTGGGCTTGGTGGGAGGTTAAGTTCAGGTCGTTTTCTCACGAGGAGGAATTTGAAGGTGAAGAACAGGAAGATAAGGGAGAGGGATATGTAGAACAAGAAGTCTTCCATGGTTGAAATGAGTTAGAATGAGTTGTGAAGAAGTGGTATTTATAAGGGGAATTTTATTTGAATCATATTCTTGACTATAAAAATTACAAAACCTATGTGGCGCGCAGGCCGAGTAATTATAAGCTAACTACGTCCTTCGGTTGAATGCGGGGCGTGCCAACTCGTCGGCCGAGCTCGGCTGAGGAGTAAAATTTGATGTTGTCGCGTTGGGTACGCTGTTGACTTCTGTATCTTGTGATTGCGACCGAGGAAGGAACGCTCTCGGCCTCTGGGTTCTATAGCCTGAAGACAAGGCTACTAATTCTACGGAGTTCACAAGTCGTCGGAGCCTGATTCGGTCACTGTGATTATATTCGTAAGAGTATAAGCACGCCGAATCGAGACCAAACTGTATGGACACAGGTACTCGAATGTGATATATGTCTTGATGGTAAACGTAGTTCGGCCGTCGGAATGCCGAACCCTGAAGCTTACTTGCGAGTATCCAATCATAAAACCACTCGGCGTCCAATGCGCCGAGCAATGCAATTTGTGACACCCAACTATGCCAAAAAGGCTTAGTAGGATGACCTCCACAAACAAAGGTTCGAAAACCCTTCTCGGCCGAGACTTAGATAGATAATCGGTCGACCTCGACGCAGTGCTGTTTATCCAAACTGAAGGTGCTCCTCGGTCG